CAAATATGTGGAAATTTTTTATTCTTGCATGCATTTAGGCACCGAATTAAAAACCCTTAAGTGATCAGAAATCGCAAAATAATTTTTTTTTTAATATTTTTCTTTGTGCATACAAAAGTAAACTGTAAAGAGTAATTTCATTAAAATTTGTTGCAATTATAAATAACACCCTGTGTTAGTTTGAAATGTGCCATACGAGTTATAGTTAAAACCGGTTTCATAGTCTTTTTTCTTTTATTTCAAAATCAAATTTTTTTATCACATTACAAATACAGATTTCTATTTTATAATACCTAATATTTAAATTAGAAGTCAATATGAATGCGGAATATTTAAGCATAAATATGTAAATGTTATGGAGCTAAAGGGCATTGTCCAATTATAAATTTTCAAGCATAAAATAATCATAATCATAAATAATTCTTCTCTACATTATTGTATTTCTACAGAAATTTTTCATAAAAATCACAAAAATTATTTAAAACAAAATGGAGTAAAATATATAAATGTAATATGTAAATTTCGTTAAGGCATTATGTAAAACATTTTATTATAATTTACAATAATTATACGAAATGTGTACATACATAACATTCAGTGAATAAAACAATAGTTAAGCATTTTCCTAAAACACTAAAATATTCAAATCGAAAACTTTGCAAAATTTTGTAAAAAAAAAATTCTAGGGTGGGACCATAATTTCTTTACTTTTTAAAATTCGGATTTCAAAATCTTTAGCATTCCAAAGAGATAAATTGTAGGACGGCTTACGTATTCCTCTCTTACATATTCGCCAGTCAAACTATGTTTGTTTCATGTTCAAATTCCTATTAGAGAATCTCATTACAGAAGTTTTATTACACAATTATGAGATCGTTTGTGTGATGCAAAAATAGCTTTGTCCACAACCTTTTTGACGTATTGTATTTTGATTTTAGAGACACAAAAACAGAACAGAATCTCGAGAGTCACTCAATGACTGGCAAGCTCATCGGCTGTGCTAGTTCCTCGGAACCCCACAATGTTCAGTCATCCAAACCATGTTTATCTCGAACTATCCCGACATATTGTTAAGAGACGATCCAGATATAATATATATTTGCTCATCGTAAAATTCTGCGTTGATTTAGACATGTCCGTCCATCGGTCCGACTACACTCAAAAACGAAGAATGTAAGTATCAGAAAACCTTTAGAAACTGTTTCTTTTCAACAGACGACGGCTACTATTGCAATTAAACCAACTACAATAACGAGTATGGGTAGCTGTTATGCAACTCAAAAGGATTTTTTTAAATATTTCAAAAACTAGTTTTAAAATTATGTTGTCATGGTGTAGACAGGGTACAGTTCAGTTGGTTAAAATCTACTGAAACGTTCTGGATTGCTATTATAAAAACTGTTTCACTTATATCACATAGTTTTTTTTAAATTTCTTATACAAACCACGATAATTTATTTGGATATCATGATTTAAACTTTATTAAAATATTTTAGGTTTTAAATAATTACGTCAGTAAGAAAATATTAATGAAAGATTTTCAATTCAATTGACACGAGCAGTTGAAATTTAACATTCACGTATTTTGATATTCAATCTATATTATATATATATATTCATACTTATAGTACACAAAATTTCTATATAATATAATTCTTACTCATATAAAAGATTCAAAAATAAAATTATTAAATTCAAATACCCTTCAGTCATTTCATATTCTTCAAAAGCGAACCTATATCATCAAGAACCTATTTTATTAAATTTAACAATAATTATATAATTAATTAATACATAAATATGTACATAATTACGTGAATGTATATATTATACATTAACCTTATCATGAATACATATATAATTCATACTTATGTTATTAATAAATTTTTGAATTATAACAATTATTATAACAATGTCAAGAACATGGCATACAATTATCTATTCATATTATTGTACTCGTATATATGTAATTTTTTTTTTGTTCTTTTGACAATAATGAAATATGAAAACGTTCAAACTAATTTCAATTTTATGCCACCCAGCTAATTACTTAACATGAAATTAAATTGAAAATATCATCAATCATAGGAAAAAAGGTCTAATTATATTTGACATATGTATATTATGTATATGTTATGAATATATTTTATATATATACTTTATATTTTGGCATCATTATAGGAAAAGAACAATATATGAGAATTGTATTCCCTTCTTCTTATACCCTGTATATGCAAACTTTTGTACATAAAGGTACAAACATGTTAATATACATATATTCATTTATGTATAAATTTACAATAAGAATTTTTCCCATCATTTTCGTTAATTTTAAGTGCCCTCTGTACCTACATTAACTTATTTATCTATATATATTAACTACATAATTGTAATTATTTTAATTATTATATTTACAATAACGTATATGAGTATTTTACGCAGCATACACAGAGTGAAAGAGAGAGAAAATATTGAAACAGTGCTCCATTTGTGGTACATTTCAATCTTTTGTCTTCCATTTACTCTATGGTGCAAAGGCATAATTGCTTTTAAACTTCCTTCTTTTGTTGTCTAATGTTTAATACCACTGAACAAAGTATTTGATCCGACTTAATAAAACGCAAAATTTTCCTCTCGATTAAACATCCGCTTGGGATGACTCTTAAACAGACTTAATATACCTCGTCAAGAATCTTTTGAAAATTTTTATTTTCTTCTTGCTAAGCACTATACTGGCATCAAAAATAGTCAAAAGTAGTTGACATTGTGCATTATAATTTTATATGAAAAAAAAATTCATGATATATAGCTGTTTATCATTGCCTTACTTTTTCTTTGGTGAAAGATAGTTTTTGTCTTACTCCCATTCATTCATTTTTTTCTTTCATTTTTTGACAGGGACCAATATTTTTATTATTATATTACAATGATTGTGGACATAGCTACCACGAAGCTCTATAGCGTGTAGCTTAATGATTGTTATTTCTTTCTTTTAAACTGAACTATAGAAATGATTAGGCATACATATAATATATTTGATAGTATATATCAGTATGGGGTATATAGAGAATCTTAAATTTCTTTAAAACTCAATTCTTATTAGGCAGAAGCAGGAAAATTTATATTAAATCTGCTTGAATCCGACAATCCAGTAGTTCTGCATAATCACGGAGTAATAATCTTTTTCGTGTATATTTATTTAAGTCATTTGCTTTTTAAAAATCAACAATTTCTATAGTTGTAAAACAAATTTTTACTATTTGCCCCAGCGTATATGTACAAAAAATAAAGATTTATATGGTACAATATTGAAATTATTCCTAAACCCATCTGTATAATAAAAAAAATTCCCAAAATGAAATATTGTCTTATATAAAAATAAAGTCGTATATTTATGCATTGTATAACGTATACGTGTATGAGTTTCTGCACGTGTAAACAGTCAAAAACGTTATGTTGAAGAGGGATTGAAAGAAATTTTCTAATTAGGTTTTCATTACTCAAAAACAAGAGTTTTTCCTTTTATTTTTATAATTTTTTTTTTTTTATTTGGAATTTTAATTAGAGACACAGTTAACAAAAAAACGAACTAACATAGTTTTATATTTATCACCTGTCATTCATATTATTATATACATATGTATGTATATACTTAACAACAATAGTGTATACATAGAATCACGTTATATAAGTATTTGCCTCTGTTAACGCTATTCAGTGTTCCAAGAGTTTAAATTCTATAATGGAATTTTTTTTTGTTTTTTTATTATTTTTTGAAAATTATTTTAATTTACTAAAATGTATGTACATATTTTAAAATATATATATACAAATACAAAATGTATATACATACGAATTGTGATTTATAATTAAAAGTTTTGAAATAAATAAATTAGAATATAATTAATTAAATATAGAAATTATTTTAAATTAAAAAAGTATTTCAAAATAAAATTTCAATTTCAATTAGTGAATGTTAACATACATGATATATATATATATATATATATATATATATATATACATATATACTTATATGTACAAACGTCAAGAGTATAAATAATTTATTTTAAAATTCCCATACATGCACAACATTATTTTTGATTTCGAATTAAAGCAATTTATGTTTAAAATAAAATAAGACAGCTCTTAATAACACTATATACAATAAGGAGCTGATAAAATGAAAATATATATAGGGTGATTTTTTTTAGCTTATAGAGGTATAATTCAAAAATAGTTCAACTATTACTATGTTAACTTGACATTTGAAATCGATAAACTTTGGAAAATCACATTATATCAATATGAAAATTAGCCGCTGATTCTTATAATTCAGAAACTTATTACAGTATTACTACTAATCGTGCTCCTTCAAAAACATGAGGCTGCATCGTTACGTTAATCGAAATTAATTCGCAATTAATAATAATTGCTTATCTTAAAATATAGATGATACGAGTATATTAAACCGGAGAAAGTGCAGTTTCAGCTGAGAAACGGTACATCAACTTATTTAAAGAAGAATTTGAACATTCACTTAATTATTTCCTGTATGAGGTCAATATGATCGACTTAAACTATTCAATACCCGTATAAAAAATAAATTTCCGCCGATTATTCAATAAAATATCGCTTTTATAATCAGCTCTCTGCCTTTCACAAAATAACTAGAATTTAACAGGTAATTGTTCACTGCCCGCGAAAATATTCTACATTATAATTTAAGTTTTCTAAAAACAAAATGACTTTTCAAATTCTTTTCATATAATTACAAAAATTCTTCCATTATCTTAAGTAATTTTTTTCTCATTATTCTTATAAAAGAATAATAAATTTTTAAAAAACTTTTAATTAATATTCGAATTTTCTTTTTCCATTTCCGCTTATTGTATTTGAAACGATTAGTATTACTTAAAATTTCCAAAATAAATAAAAAACCTGAAAAATATCAAAATATTAAAAATGCTATTAAAGTGAATAAGAACTTGCAACTTCTTTTAATTACCTGCAGAAATATGACCAATTATTAGAACAATAAAAGCACCCTGTAACATTCTTAAATTTATTGGTTGAATAACATCATCTTCATCTAACATATTAAATGATTTTTCACCTTCAGATGATATTGAAGATTCATCATTTTTTTCATTTTTGTTCTCATCATTTATGATCTGATCAGAACTTTGATTCTTTGATAATAATTTTGACATTGCCTCATATTCAATGTCAGTCAATTTATCGAGAACACCACCTTCAAAAAGATGAATTAATCTAAAAATAAAAAATTGATTTTTTTTTTTTTGTTAATTTTAATGAATTTGCAAGAAAATTTTATATTTTATGAATTTTAACTAAAGCAGAGTATCACTTACACTTCATTAATGCTATCTAAATAAGGACAACCATTTTGTACAGCAACTGCCGAATAACGAGTAAATAATTTCTGACTTAATTGAAATTTTTTTGATCCTTTTAAGAATGTAAAATATTTTTTTGAATTAAAAACATTAAAGTTTGATGCAACTTTACCATATCTTTTCATATTAAAATACAATGTTTCACGACCACCTAAAATAACTTTTTGTGAACCATCAACAATTTTTTCTATTCCTTTTTCAACCGAATCTACTAAAAATTCTGTTCGATCACCTCTCGAATCCTGTTGTCCCTTCATTAACTTATAAAGCCTTTGAAATAATTCTGTTCCATTCTATAATAAAAAGAAGTGATTCATATCGAAAAATGGAATTACAAAATTACAAATTGTTTCTCTATTGAAACGATTAACTTAATTAAAAGAAATTTTCCATCTATATCTGGACTACATAGTTTTTACTATATAAACATAAATATAATATTGTACTAACCTCAAGTAATTGCAACGCTGAACTTTCTTTTTCAACAAACAATTGATAACCTCCGAATTTCATAGCTGTTTGATATACCAATACAATAAAAGAATTCGGAATCGTTTACTAATAAAAACTATAATCAACATTATAATATAATTACCATATTCCAATTTCTCTAATGTATTAATTGGAGGTTCACGTGCAGGTCTTGCAAATTGAGATGTTAATTGAGCTGAATAAACATCAGCTAAAACATATGTTGCTGCAATCCAATAAACAATTGTTAAGAATTTCACGCGACGGCAATTATGAGGCTCAGAACATGCTAAATAAAATTATTAAACAAAAATTTTAAATATTAAATTATTATTAAACTAAATTACATTGTTTTAAGAAAAGTTGTAAAGTAAACCAAATACAATGACCAAATAAATTGGTATTTGGTAAATTTCTTTTCTTTTCTTTAATTGTTGATCGTTTCATTTTCCTTCTTCCATAAGAAATCTCATTAATATAATCCGGGTAGATTGGAATAAAAGATTTTTTATTAAATATTTTCGGTTTCTTATTGAATTGCCATAAGTACGGTATTTTTATAATACAATAAAAAATTGGTCCTGAAAAAATAATTGTTAAAATTAAATATGGCCATACATCAAGTTTGAATGGTCTTAATATAGCAAGTGCTTCATTTAATCGTCTTGGTGCATGAGTAGCAAAAGCTACTGAATCTGCTAAAGTAAAAAATGAAAATTCTACTGCTTTTCCTCTTTCCCAATTAAGACTTATATCACCCAAAAAGATATCGCCAGACTGAAAATATTTTTTTTTTTTTAAATAATTTCATATTTTTCTTTACAGATTTTTTTTTAAAACTCTACTCTATTCTGTAACATTCCAATGCCACCTGAAAAATTAAAACTTATATCTGTTTCATCTGGTGAAATTGGAGATCCTTGAGTTCTTTCAGGTGGATCAATATATTGAATTTTAAAATCCATTTTCCTTGCTAAATTCAAAAGTAAATTATGATCACGTCCACCTATAACACATATATTACTTTGTTCAACAATTTCTGGTTCTTTATTAGCACAAAATTTATTATCTTCTGATGGATATGTAAAATGTGGTATTTGACTAGAATTTGTTTTATAATCAATGAAAAACCATGGTGGAGCCTATAATACATTCGATATAAGAACATAATTTGGTATGTAAGATCGAAAATATTTTTGAAATTTACATGAATTACTGGTATTTTAAATATTCGTCCATCAAATTTGGAATAAACCGAAGATGTGCTTGGTAAAAGTGGTGTTTTAATTAAACCTAAACTTTCACCATCATACCAATTAACTAAACGTAAGCTACTTACACCACTTGGTACTGCTTGATTGTAAAATACTCGAAAACTGTAAAAATTTAAAATATTTCGGTACATTACGAGTATTGAATTAAGTGAATAAAATTAAAAATAAAAATTAAATTTGATTATTAACGCCAAGAATTTAAAAATTATTTGGCGAATTTTAAACTTAAAAATACTTACGCTTTCTCACGTGGCCTTGTTATAACTGAAATAGAACAAATTGGAAAAGCAATCAAAAACAGATTTACGGTAGAATAAGGAATATGTAGCGTGCATATTTAGAATTAGAAAAGAAAAACAAATATACACGCTTCAATCCTGATTAATTTTCTATTTTTGAAGTTTTACTTAAGTTACGATTAAGTTCAGGATTTTGAAATTTTCATAGAAAATACAAACAAAAAATATTTTTGAAAAACAGCCGATTACGGCTTTGTAAATTATGTTTAATTTTTGGTTTATGCACATAGCTTCTTATTTAGGTAGTTGTTTCTTGTAACCACAGAACAATTTGAACAATTTTACTTATTTCACCAATATGGTAATAATTTCAATTTTTTGATTGATTTCTACTTACTTACAACTCTTAATGGCTCTTCAAATCTTGCATATTTTGCACTTGGTGGACTTTTAGCACCCCAATAAAATACAAATAAACTAAGACGATGTGCTAAATTATTTTCATGTAGTAGCTCAACAAAACCATCAGGATTTAAAAATATTATACTTGTACTTTCAACTGATGATTTAATTGTTGTACCAATAAATTGAAAATATTTTGTAATATTATAAAAAATACATGATTGATAATTCATTTTATGTATCTCATAAATTAAATCATTAACATCTTCATTTTGTGAATAATTTTGACAAAATATTACTAAATATTTTGGATTCAAACCATTTATTATTTCGGAAAGTCCTTAAAATAGTTACAAAGTAGTTTTATTTTTAATTAATAAATTAAAAAAATATCAGTATTTTATAATGTATAGGTACCAAGAGCTACAACAGAAACTTCGTTTTGCAAAGTAAACTTTTGAATTGCAATTATGCAATGGCAAAATATAAATATGAAAGAGAATTTTAAAATTAAAATCATTTTTTTTCAATAAATTTGTTAAAATCCTTTCCTTATGAAATCGTAAAAAGGACTAATCGAATATAGTATCAAAAAAATTGTTTAGGAATCAAAAAATATTATAATGAAAGCACGCACTCTTTGTATTAAAAATTCAAAATTATTATAAAAATTGAGGTCTATGACAGCATGAATAACTTGTCAGCAATTTATATGCCAATAACCTTAGAAAGTGTAGCAATTAAAATTCAATTATTTTTAAAAGTATTTTTGATTTTAATTGAATTACAATTTGGTTCTTGAAAAATAAATGTGAATTAGTAATAATTGGATTCCAATTAAATTTTTTAAATACTATGCCTCATATAAATTATATTGTAAGTTGAAAATTTTATTTAAGGAATTAAATTATTAATCAAAATTTGTTAACTGAGCCTGATCAGTGCATAAATCAGCTGAATACACTTAAATAATCTCAGATTATTGAAATAACACAATATTGTTGAAATAACACGGTTTTTAATAAAAACAAAATTTTTAATTTTGTTTTGCAAAATGGGGCAGAAGAAATAGGGTAATCATATGTTTTTATAGCGAGCTTGTTTTAATTTAACATTCCGAGTGTAGTTTTTCGAAAATTTTCTATTCATTCTGTTGTTCTGTTTCGAAAATATTATTAGATCGCGAACACTCGTTAGATGAAATCTTAAAATTATAAAATTATTTTCCTATATATTGATGGAAAAGAAATATACGTTGTTCTAAATAATTGCACTCAGTGTTGCCACTTTGACCCAAATGGTTCAAGCATGGCTCATTTTTTTTGTTCAAAATAATTTTAGCCCTACAGTCCATTATTGTTTTTTTTTTGCCTAAAATCATTTTGACTCCACGACATAATTAGTCGTATTTGGCTCATATCGTGAAAATTTTCCAAATTTTATACAGTACACCAACTCCGTAATCTATAATGTTAAATTTTAAATAAAAAGCTAAAATTTGAAGTAAATTTGAGATTGTACTACGAATATGTATTTTACATCTAGTATTGCTTAAATTTGGCCCTTTATTTAAAAATTTGGCTAATTAAATGGCAACTCTGATTACAATCCTCCTCAATTGTATTCGCAACAAAATGCAAATTTATTTTTAGAAAATATACTAAAGACTTTGCATTTAAATGCGTCCCATTTGAAACTTTCACTTTATTGCGTCCAAAATTTTAGTACTCTCAACTAAAAATGCATGCAAATTTTCCCGGTTATTTGATGAACTAAAAAAGTTGTCCTAATAAAATTCTATTCTATTCACTTAAGCGAGGTTTTCATAAATGTATTTCCCGTTTAATTGCATTAAAGTTTTTTTTAAAAAATCAAGCGGCACATTTATCCAGAGATGATTGTGTGTATATTAATTTGATAAGAGTATCATAAAATATATTTTAGCTTTTAATTTTTAATGGAATTTTAAAAATTCCCTTTGTATAAATTAAATGCTTATTTTTCTGAATATTAAATTTGAGTTAATAAAAAAGAAAACAATTCACATTTAAAAAGAAAATTTCTATACACACTTATACGGGAAAATTTCTACACACACTTATATACGTTTACATAATATTTACAGAAATTGCTACTTTCTAAAAGAACAAAGGAAATGAAAAATTATTTGAATTGAAATAAAAAAATTTTAAAATCAAAAACCGAAAACTAAAAAACTTCTTTAACAACTAATTTCTAATATTGTTGATTTTAATTATATACAAGACGTCTCTTTAATTTTCTGCATTCATTATTTTATTTAATTGCTTATATATTTTCTTAAATACCATTATTTATTTTCTTATGGTATTTTTTATTTTCTTTCACATACACACAATATTTGTACATTGTGTGGGGAATTTTTCATTACACCTTCTTATTTCTATTTTAACTTTTTTTTTTTAGTGAAATTTAAGAATGCAAATTTTCATATTTTTATTTTTTGTTTTGTTTGTTCTTCAGAGCAATTCTGCTTATTAAAAAAAAAAACTTTTTTGTTGTATTTTCCTTTATAATTTTCTAAATAACATTTTCTAAGTACAACTCATTATTTACTACATATTTTGCTTGAAATTTCTTCATATATGTAAATGCATACACAAATGCATACTCGTACATGTGTTGTGTATGTTATATACACAAACAAAAATTTAAGGACTTTTTTCCTAAATAATTTTCTTAAGATTTTTGTTTTTCTTTTCGTGTTTTTATTCTTCGCGCGATTCTTATATAGTTTATATGAGTCTACGGGGTGTATACATAATAATTTTTGAGTGTTTGCGTTTTTAAAAGGATTAATTAAAAGTTAATTTTCATAATACTTTTGCACGTATTTATTTACGGTTATAATTGAGTTTAATTACCATTAGAAATAAAAAGAAAGTATATTAGAATTATTATTTTTGTTTTTTAAGGTAACATTTAAATTTTTACCTTGGTAGAATTTTTAAGATTTTTGGTTTTGATTTTATTTTTCTTTATTGCATTGAGGATTCTTATACATATAACAAAATTTTGGTTTTGTATGAAGGTAATTAAAGATCTCGCAAAGAAAATTATAGTTGAATTATTAAAAAATAGTTTTTTTTTCTTAAATGTTCTCAGAGATTAGATTGTATGTTGAAATAAAGAAATTTATAACTTTGAAAATTAATTTTGGTATAGTTTTAACAACAACAATATAAAAGGGTACAATATAAGCATAATGTAATATAAATTCTACTAAGCAGTATGTTTTTTCGTTTCTTCTCTTCTGTAATCATTTTAATTTGAGTATATTTACTTCTAACTTTCTCTCCAGCAAATTTTATAGAGAACAGTTGATTCAAAGTGAAACAGACTCTGAGGTTTTTATGAGTTATTTTGTGGTTCATAACAACTCTGTGAAACCCGTATGAGTGAATGATTTAAAGTGCTGTGTGTCAATTGCCACACTATCCCATAGGTACCCATGGTTTATTATTTGTTTATGCAAAATTACAGCAGTTGCAATTTCAATAGTTTCCATAATATACGATCAAATGACTTTCAAAGTTTTATAGCAGTTACCAACAAGTCTTATCAAATATACATAGGAGCCCTTATAAAATATTTGCTTTTTTATGGTAGCTATCACAAGGAGTCAAAAAATTTCAATAACTTCTATCGCACATAACAGCCCTATTAATATATTTGTTTATCCGAAAATTTAATGTTCTAGTTTAAATAGCTTCTGAGATATAGCCAGATGGCTTTTAAGGTTGGGGGACAGATATCCGCTACCATCATATCTAATTGATAAATAGAGTTCGTAATTTATTATAATAAATTCTTTGTGAAAATTTAGTGAACTTACCTCAATTAATTTTTGAGTTATTGTTGTGACGGATGGGCAGATGGGAAGATGGACAAAGATGTTTAAATCGACTCAGAATTCGACTCAGATCAAAAGCATAGACTTCTGTCTATATCTTAGACCTTTATTTCTAAGCGTTACAAATGGTAAGGCAAATTTATTATGTCCTTCGAACATACCCTCGTACGGGTATAAAAATCAGAATCTATAAAGACAATTAAAAAAAAAATACAATAAATTTTGAGATAATTATAAAGTTCACAAGATATCAAAAATAAATTGAATTCATATGCCTCATATTTACCAAAAAAAAATTTAACAACATTTTCATATTTTGAATTCATAATCAATTTTATCATGATTTTATCATCATTTTCGAATTTAATAAACAAATTAATGTTGAAAATTCTTAAACTAATATTAAAAAGCAGGTGATATTCAATTTAATAATACAAAAATACAATGTAAATATTTCGAAAAATATTTATAAAAATTTTATTAACAAGAATCTTAAAATATAAATATGAAAAAAAAAACCAAACGAATTTTAATATCAATTGTAATTTATTTATGTATACGAATTTGTGCGTATGTATATTTTAGAAATAATAAATTTTATCATACATATGTATATACAAACACATACAATTGTATACGTACATAAAAATTACCATTGGAATTAAAATAAATTGTTTTTTGTCCTCACTGTTAATTATTATTAAACCTATTGCGATTTAAAATTTAATTAGCTTTCTGTATTTCAAAAATTATTTAGTAAACTAATTAAAAATACTCCCAATGTTTTCATTTGATAAATATCCAATATAATTTAATATAAAATACTTTTTTTACTCGTTTATTATTTAGGTATACATACATCCATTCATCAAATTGTTCTATACATATAGGTATAATAGAGGAAATTAATATTGTGGGTGGATGATGCAAAAAAAAATTGTATGTTCGTATTAAAATAATAATGAGAAGAAAATTGAAGAGAAAATGAATAAAATTTTAGAAAAATATTTTTGTTATATTAGAAAATGTTAATTATAAAAATTGCCAATTATTTATTTTTAAATTTATTGCATAACCATTCAACATAAGCTTGAAATATTAAATACAATAAATTATCTATTTTTTATAAAAAATAATTACTTTGATGAATAAGTAAAAAAGAAAGTAAGATGCAACAAACAACTTGTAGATTCTTGTAAACAAGGTGCCTAAAATCACTTGTGAAATATCGTATAGGTAACACCGACTGACTTGTGGGCCATCTCAAAACGAAATAATGTCTAAGTAATGAAAAATTAAAAATTCTATTTTAAAAATTATGTATTTTTTATGGCGTTCATTTGAATCGATTGTTCGACAGGTATTGTTCCGAAACTCTGATGAAAGAAGTAAAAAATTTACATTTACCCCTGCACCCGAACTGCACCCGAGTTTTATTTATATTTAAATATGACTTAGAAAAAAATTTTACTTGTAATTTTCACCCAGTATTTTGAATTTCTTATAAGGGCGTTCTTTTAGGCATTGTTCGAAATTTTTGTCTAAATCTAAATGGAAATGGAATAATTTTCTGCCCCTGAAGATTGAGAGATTCTTAAAATAATTTAATTTAATTGTTCGAATAAAGCAATGTACGGACATTTTTTCAATTGAAGAATATTGTTTTCGATCAAATAAATTTCATTCTATTTTCCGAATCTGCTATTGTTATTTTTTTTTATTAAAGATTCACGTTTAAAATATGATACAAATTGCTATAAATCAGAATATAATAGGGTAAAAATAATTAAATGAATACTTATATTAACATTCTCTTTATTTATATGCACATATCTTATATATATATATATATTTATACAACAGATGTTTATATGTTCGTATAATATTCCGGATATACGTATGTAAGCACTCACACTGTACTTATAAAGTAATAAGTTAAATTTTTTCACTTTATCTTTTAAAAAATTTCTTTCATTATTGTTATATTGTGTTTTGTTCCTTTTTCTACATTTTAATCCTTCCCCTTTTTACTCCTTTGACTTTTATTGTGTATACGAATATAAATGTACATATTTATGTATATATGTATATGTATTAAATATTTTGTAATAAAATATTTAATATTATTTTTATTACAATGTAGAGCAATAATAATAACATTCATAACCACTGTTATCAATATATAATATTCATATAATATACTGTTATACATACACATAGGTATTGTATCTGTATATTATTACATTGTAATATGGTGAATGTATAAGATTAAACGAAAGCTCAATTACTCTCTCGGTAATAAAATAGTAAAAAAAAAAAATATCTTTTAATTTTATATTTAATTAATAATTAATTATCACTACAGGTTTAATTGGAACAAGGATTTACTTTTATATTTTTAATTATATTGCCTTATTATATATATGTACATGTATATATGAATGTTTAAATAATATATACAT